CTAGGATAGAATCCGTAACTTACTTAGGAATATGACATTCCTATAAATTATAGTCTCAACTTCTCTTTTCTCCTCACCATTCTTTTTCATTTTAGCAGGTATGGAGTTCAACCTTCGATGTTCAGAATCTATGCCCGACTTCTCCAGGATTGGGGTGATAAACGAAGATGCTCCAAATGGGCCAAATAGGCGGCTTCTTCTACCTCGCGGCTTCTTCAGATCCCAGATCCGAGCTCCATGTGCTTTGATCAGGGATCTCCCAATCAGAGACCAAGGAACAGCGATGGCATTCATAGAGGCACTTGCGCTTCAACATCGGAAGCTTACGTTGGAAAAGAGGAGACTCCGGAAGAGGATTAACCGGATGCAACGCAGGCTTACTACGGTATCAAAAGATCTTCACGTCCTCGAATCTCACCCTGGAGAATGGATCGAGCTTGGAATCTCTGACTTCGCTCGAATTCCGGACTGCATGATGCCAATCCTCGACCTTGCTGGTCAAGGAGTTGAAGTGTTCTGCTCGTCAACAAGATCTCCATAACCCGAAGTGTACGATGAGGGACATTCCATCTTTTTTGTTTAAATAAACGCTCTATTTCCAATCTCTTGTGTGTTCGCATAGCCGAACCTTTATTTGCTTCACTTGTTCGCAAAGTCGAACCTTTCCCTTTAATACAGAAATAAAACAAATTTTTTATTAATAGCTGAACTCGTTTCTGAGCTGCCTACGTACCCATTTCGGGATCAAGCCACACCGTAGTTCGTGTACATATAAAATGCGTGTAGCTTTAAACATAAAATTTCTTTAGGTTGATCACATTCCAAGGTCGCTTGACTGGCATGTCTTCTAAGTCTTTCAGCCTATAAACACCGTTTCGAACCACTTCGGTAACAATGTAAGGTCCTTCCCAATTAATACCGAGTTTACCGGCGCCTTCTTCTTTTTTATTGTCAAAAACGCGCCTTAACACATAATCTCCCACGAAGAACGGCCTACTTTTGACTTTAGAGTTGTAATATCGGGCTGCTGCCTGCTAGTAATTCTGGATCCGAATCAAAGCTTGATCACGCCTTTCATTTATGGTATCTAGTGAATCATTAAGCATTGCTGAATTTTCTTCCTCATTTAATGGTGCTTCTGTTCGGCGAAGTCCGGGCACGTTGAGTTCAGCTGGTACTACTGCCTCCATGCCATAAACCAAAGAGAATGGAGTTTCTCCGGTAGGTCGCCTAGGGGTTGTACGATAGGCTCATAGGACGGGTTGGAGTTCTTCATACCATCCTCCTTTTAGATGATTTAAGCGTTTCTTGAGATTGCTCAATATCGTCTTGTTCGCGGCTTCAGCTTGACCGTTTCCTTGCGGATATCGTGGAGTAGAATAACTGACTTTGATTCCCCAGTCCGCACAAAAAGCATCAAATTCTTGTGAAATGAATTGCGGCCCGTTATCAGTGACTATTTCGTACGGAACTCCATGTCGACATATAATATTCTTCCAAATGAAAGTCTTCACCGCCTAATCCTTGATGCCAACATATGCCTCAGCTTCAATCCATTTCGAAAAGTAGTCCGTCAAGACCAAAAGGTATTGTACACCTCGAGTTGATCTGTGTAATGGTCCAATGATGTCCATTGACCACCTCATAAACGGGTACGGGGCGGAGATGGAAGAGAATAACTCCGAAGGTTGATGGATCAATGGTGCATGGAGTTGGCAACGCTTACATCTTTGGGCAAATTTAACACAATCCGTGATCATAGTGGGCCAATAGTATCCCGTTCTTTTAACTTTAAAAGCCATAGCTCTTCCTGATGAATGACTCCCACATAATCCTTCATGTACTTCGCTCATGACGCTTTCGACTTCGGGCCCAAAAATGCATAATAGGTAAGGGTCACTGACACCTCGTCTATATAATGCATCCTTTGATAGACAAAATTTCGCGCTAACGATTTTCATTTTTCTGGCCTGCCACTTATTCTTTGGGAGCTCGCCTGTCATGATGTAGCGCTTTATTGGCTCCCTCCAGTCAGCCCCCCAGTCTTTAGCTGGAATTTGGTCGACCTTGTTAAATACTCGTGGTTCTGGTTCGGGATGCTCGTTTGGTTCTAGAATATCCTCCTCGATTAATGGCTCGGTCTCTAATATTGTTTCTGGAATCGCATCTCCTGCTAAGACAACGGGTTCCTTGTTAGATGTGTTTGATCCCTTTGACTTCCTCCGTTTGTTGGGTGGCGGTTCGATCTCTGGTTCGCCACGGTCACGTGCCGCTGCTCGAGACCTTGTAACGACGAGGGTTTCTTTGTTGTCTTGAATGCTTCGCTCCGAACTGCATTCCACTGGAATAACTCTTTTTAACTCAGGATCTGATGTTGGCGCCAATGCGGCAAGTGCGTCCGCAGTTGTATTCTCCCCCCGAGGTATGCGAATTAATTCGAATTTCGAGAAATTTTTATATAGATCCTTCACCACTTCAAGGTACGCTTCCATTCTTGAGTCCTTGGTCTCGTAGTCTCTATTAAAATGGTTAACCACTAATTGCGAATCGCAATAAGCGACTATTTCCTTAGCTCCAACTCCTTGTGCCAATCGAAGTCCGGCAATTAGGGCTTCGTATTCTGCCTCATTGTTGGAAGCATTAAATAATAATCGGAATGATTGTTCTAGAATTTCCGATGTTGGAGATTCCAACTTGATTCCTACTCCGGATCCTTGCTTTGATGAGGACCCATCTACATGTAATTTCCAAGTTTGGTTCTCCGATTGCTCTATCGTTCCAGGTATTGGTAGCTCGGTTAGGAAATCTGCTAAAACCTGAGCTTTCATACTGATCCGGCTTTTGAATTCTATGTCGTACTCGCTCAATTCCACCGCCCATTTCGCCAAACATCCGGACTGACTTGGACTATGAAGTATTGTTCGGAGAGGATGGTTGGTTAATACATCAACCGAATGGGATTGAAAATATGGGCGCAGCTTTCGAGCCGAGGTCACCACCGCGAGTGCGAGTTTTTCCATCATTGTATATCTGGTTTCCGGATCCGTCATTGACTTACTTACGTAGTAAATCGGCTTCTGTTCCCCGCGGTCTTCCCGAACCAAGACTCTACTAACCGCATGGTTTGAAACCGATACGTACAAATAAAGTTTTTCATCCACTTCTGGTTTGGACAATATAGGTGGAGTGGTTAAGTATGCCTTAAGCTGCCCAAAAGCTTCTTCACATTTCTCATCCCAGAGGAATCCTTTGTTTCCTTTTAGAATTTGATAGAAAGGCAATGACTTATCTGTTGATCTCGAGATAAAACGATTCAAAGCCGCAATCCGCCCAGTCAACCGTTGTACTTCCTTGAAGTTTCTTGGAGATGGCATGTTTAGAAAGGCGTTAATTTGATTTGGATTGGCCTCAATCCCTCTTTCCGTCACAATATAGCCAAGAAATTCTCCGGATGGGACTCCGAATGTGCACTTTGCCGGGTTCAGCTTCATTTGATATTTATTGAGAATATCAAAACACTCCTCTAAATGCTTAACGTGATCTTCTTTTCTTAACGATTTAACCAACATATCATCTATGTAGACTTCCATTGTCTTCCCGAGATGATTGTGGAACATTTTATTAACCAACCGTTGATAAGTTGCTCCTGCATTTTTCAAACCAAAAGGCATTACCTTGTAACAATAGATACCTCTATCAGTGATAAATGATGTTTTTTCTTGGTCTTCGGGGTTCATCATTATTTGATTATAACTCGAGAAGGCGTCCATGAATGTTAACAGCTCGTTCCCAGCGGTTGACTCTACAAGTCGATCTATATGTGGGAGCGGGAAACTCTCTTTGGGACATGCTTTATTGAGGTCTGTGAAGTCGATGCAAACCCTATCTTTTCCATTCTTCTTTTTGACAACGACAGTGTTTGCTACCCATTCCGGGTATTGCACTTCTCTTATGGACCCTATCTTCAAAAGTTTATCCACTTCGTCATTTACTATTTTTGCTCGTTCTACTCCGAGCTTTCTTCTTTTTTGTTTCACCGGCTTGAAGCTCGGATCCACGTTTAGTTCATGACAAATTATACTTGGATCTATGCCAGGCATGTCCGCCGCTGACCACGCAAACGATGTTTTGTTTTTTCTTAAGAGTTCGATCAAAGCTTCTTTTATTTGGCCAGTCAAAGTTGCCCCAATTCGAATTTTCCGGTCCGGTTTGTCTTCTTCCATCACTACTTCGATTACTACATCATCTTTTTTCTGTCCGCTAGGAAATTTTGATCTTAGTCCCTCTTTTGCGGGCTTCGTTAATTGCTATTGAATCTTCATACGGTGGCTAGCTAGATAACACGTCCGTGAAGCTTCTTGATCTCCCCGAATTGTTTCCACTCCACTTGATGTTGGAAATTTGATACATTGATGATATGTAGAGGGGACTGCTTTCATTTGATAAATCCAGGGAGTTCCGAGGATGATGTTGTAAGCCGCGGGCTTATCGAAGACAACAAAATCCACGATCTTTGACACCCGTTTGGCAAGAACTGGAAGCTTGATGGTTCCGAGGGACATGGCTGATTCACTTGTGAATGCTACTAACGTAGATGGAGGCCCTATTATGTCTGCCCGACTAATTCCCATCCTTTCCAAAGTACTTAAAAAGATTAGATAACGTCCAGAAAACGCTATTTATCGCTAGAGTAGCGTATTTAGAAACGCTATATCATCGATCGCGACAATAGGTAAAGGACCTATCATAGCGGTTTTCAGTTATGCTATTATAGTTCTTTTTAATATAGCGTTTTAATATATGCAATTGTATAGTTTACAATAGCATTGTAATTATGTTATAATTTATTTCATTTTACGTCATAATTGATACTTATATTGTAGCATTTTTTTGGTTTGCTATAAATTGAGATGTTATCTATTGTTGTTAATGTGGACCTGTGTAATGAATTATTCTATTTTTGGATTTATCCCCCAATAATTTCGCATAAGCAAAAAAAAATTCATAAACCTGAAGATGTTTCATAATAACCAAAATACATGTTTCAATCCAATAACAAAGTACAGTCATACGTACTGAACACAAACACAAGTTCAAATATAAACGAGTTTGCCATTTGGCCAAGCTATTATACTACACAAAGCATCAGCAATGATTTTAATTTCTGAATTTGCTCTCCAATCTTTGAAACTTCTTCTGCAATATCAATGTATCATCAACATTATTAGCTTCCTCTTTTTCCAAGAGAAATGTCCTTAGGCGCCTCTTGCGTCCACCACGTCTCACACGGTCCTGTTTTCTTCATGTATCTCCTTCTCCTGTCATATCCATAAAAATGACACCATTGTTAATTTCTCTCTACAAGCTCTTTCTATATATATAGATATATAGATATATAATATACACATACATCTAGTAATTAAACACTAATATAATAACGTGAACTATATATAACCTATGTTATGTATTTATGAAAGGATGTATATCTCTAACATATAAGTCACTCATACACACGACTTGAGAGATACAATGATTTTAACTTTGCTACCTTTCATACATGAGTTGATTCTGCATACCAAAAGGCTAAAGCTTATTATATATATATATGAGACAATCTCTATACAATATTTGACTATATATATATATAGCCACAAAAAGTCAGAGAGAGTTAGGCATAGAGATCGTGTGTGAGCATATTTACATATACGAAAGTGTTTGAGAGCATGCAGCTCAAGCTGCTGCTCCAGATTTTGGAGATCCTTGAAACTCACTGGTTCCAAGTCTTCTCCCTGAAAATGGGAATAGAACCATCGATGTTTTTGAAGAAAATAGAACCTTAAATTGTCTAATGACCTCCTATTTTGATGCAGCACAAAGACAACCTCCTAGATATTATAAATATAGAAAATGAGAAAGAGCATATACGAGAAACTAATGAAGAGAACTTTCATTTACTATTTAAGAGAAAGAGGAAGAAACTTACAACTGTAGCTGTAAAAACAGTCCAAAGCTGTGGAACTTGGTATATAGAACCATCCAAGAATACGTTAGCATTGGTGTGACTTTCTCGGGACCATCCCTCTTTTATTTTAATCATGTCATCTTCCTGCAAAGGATTACATGATCTTATCAATGATTTCAATCAAACATTGTCACTAATTTGTCTAGCATTTGAATATACCAAATTCAATCAATGGTTTTAATGCTTCAATCTATCTCCATTTCTCCAACAGTATCGTACGAATTAAAAATAAACCAACTCTTATCGAGCTATTGAAACAAATCGAAAATGGAAAGTGAACGAGTTAGCGAGCTTACGAGAGGTCTGCACCTCACCCTCTGTAGAATCTCATGACATCAGACTGCGTCTTCCTCCATAGCTTGGATACATACCTAGGGTTCACCAAAATCAATCGAAACATTAGGCGAACTAATTCACAACAACAGATCTGTAACACATACATCATTTGAACAACAAAAGAGATGCTAAATCGATTCAATAAAACAAATGAATGGATCGATTGATTGAAACCCACAAATCTGGACGAATCAAAGTAAGAAGAGGAAGAATCAGAGGAACATGAGGGGTGCTGGCGTCTACAGTGTCCTTTTAAGCTAAGACGAGTGAGTCCATGTGTCGCTTGCTTCGACGGTGGCGCTAGGGTTCGATTTCGAAACAGAGAGTAAAAGAGAGAGAGCAACGACATGGTTTTTTTCTGTGATTAGTGAAGACGGCGTAACTAGGGTTTTGTTTGGTGGAGAAGAGGAAGTGAAACAATGGAATGAGAGGGAGAGTAAACGAGATAGAGGGAAAATGAAAATTTATTAGCCGGTTCTTTTTTCACTAAGAGCATGATTAAAAGGAGACTCTTAGAAAAATCTTAGGCTTTTGTTAACATTAAATTCAATATAATTTAATCTAAAATGTGCTTTAATCTTAAGAAACGTTCCTTAGCTAAGAAACGTTCCTTAGTTTTGGACTTCCAGGTACTTTAAATGATATCAATATTCTAAATCGCTCTCCGGTTTTTTATGACATCTTAAAAGGGCGAACACCAGCAGTGAATTATACAGTCAACGTAAACGAGTATAATTTGGGTTACTATCTCACGGATGACATTTATCCTAAATGGGCTACCTTTATCCAATCTATTTCACTTCCACAAACTGATAAAACATTTTTATTTGCAACCCATCAAGAAGCTTGCCGTAGAGATGTCGAGCGTGCTTTTGGAGTTTTACAAGCTCGATTTGCCATTGTTAAAAATCCGGCTCTTCTTTGGGATAAAATAAAAATAGGAAATATTATGCGAGCATGTATAATACTTCACAATATGATAGTAGAAGACAAACGAGATGGGTATACTCAGTTTGATACTACCGAATTCGAACAAGCGGAATCTGCAGGAAGTTCACGGGTGGATTTCACATATTCTACAGATATGCCTTCAAATTTCTTCGGAATGATGACCAATAGAGCTCGAGTTCGTGATCGAGGTATGCATCAACAATTGAAGAATGATTTGGTCGAGCATATATGGACAAAATATTCCAGAAATTAAGTTTAAAACATTTGTGCTTTATATTATTTATGTTATAAATTGTATCTCATGTATGTTTTAATTTTTTTAATTTGCAACAATTATTAAATTTTCTATAATTATAAATTTTATTTTTATATTAATTTTTTTGTTTTTAAGAACCACATGTTAAGAGTCTACCATTAATCACACAAAAATCTTAACTCAAAAATATTATCTCTTAACAATCACTTTTACAAATATATTACTTAAATATTGCTAAGAGTTATTTCTAAGATACTACCAATAAACATGCTCTAAGTACTTAGCGAGCAAATAAATAATTTTATCCGCGTTAACAATACATAGCGTTTCAAAATGTATCAATGCTATGTATTTTACATTTCTAAAAAGCGTTTCTAAAATTTGGATCTCACCAACCAAACATAGCGTTTGTAAAAGTGCAAACGCTATCTAAAATCAAGAGGTACATCAACTATAGCAAAAACGCATAAAACGCTATATTATTTCGCTATCAATATCCCATTTTCTTGTAGTGGTATCAATAAGAATCCTTGATACTTCGAAGTTGGCAACGTCCAGGGTAATGACTAATGCATCATCATGAGGTCTCTCGAGGTGCCGCGTTTCTTCTTCGTCAAATGATATTGATGCACCTTGAAAATCGACTTCTTCACTCAAACTTGCTTTGAGTAAAACATTTCGCCTATGTTTCTTGATGGAACTTATCGAATCTTGGCAAAATTTAGAACCTCCTAGAATCACGTTGATCTTACCCTTCGAACTCCTTGGCTCTTCCTCGTTGGATAACTTTGGTCTTTTAGAATTTTGATCTTTGGAGTTATCCTTTGATTTGTGGTATTCCTTTACGAAATCTTTTATATCGAATTTGGAAAGATCTCCACTGGCCCAAAGCTCCGCGAGATGCCTCTTAAGGACACTACAATCCTTGGTTAAATGTCCGGTTACGTTATGAATATCGCAATATAAACTTTCATCACGGACCCAAGTGTTTGACCTTCCTTTTCCTTGGAATTGCTTTCCGACGGTACTGTTAAAGGGTTGCGATCCAAATTTTCTTGGTCCTTTGTTCTCCCTAGGCTCGAACTTCTTGGTAGGGATGATGATTGCCGGCTTTTCTTGCTTATTTCTTTTGGCAAAATTTTCTTTTTCGTCCTCAACTTCCATCCAGTTGTTTGCGCGGAAGAGTGCATCCTGAATTGTGTCTGGTTTATGAAGTATTAAATCTTCTTTAAACCTTGAATCATGTCGCAATCCTTTCCGTATGGCAGATAAAGCTGATTGTTGTGAGATTCTTGGGAGCTTTGACAGCACTCCTTCGAACTTGGTGATAAAAACTCGAAGTGACTCATTTGATCCTTGTGATAGGTTCCAAAGATCGGCATCCGAAACACTTTTGTCCATAAGGATGGAATATTGTTTTAAAAACACAGCTGATAGTTCGTCGAAATTGCTGATCGAAGCCGGCTCTAATTGGGTGAACCACATTAGAGCTTGGCCACATAGATTTTCTGAAAAGAGCTTACAGTACCCTGCATACTCATCGACTTCATCCAATTCGACTCTTCCGGCAGCTATCAGGAAAGCTGCGAGATAGCTCTTCGGATCCTCTAATCCGCTGTAAGGGTCCAACTTGAGCTTCCGAGAATCTTTGATTCTTAAACTTGCGATTCGCAGAATGAAAGGTGTTCGCCTAGCTTCTTCAATGACTCGATTGATATCCGGCTCCGAACTTGTAGCCTGATGGAACTTTGACTTCATTTCGTTTAGTTCTTGGCTAACCTTCCTCATAGTCTCAAACTGGTCGAGGTTTTCCTGCTCGTATTGATCTGCAAGTTGAACTTCATCTTCAAGCTGTGTCTCTTCCTCCAATGGCTGAACTACATTATTAGTAGCACCAGGAGTTGTTTGTCCGCTGGTTTCATTTCGCGCAGCGGAACTTGGCGAGTTGAGTATCCTTCTTCGGATACCCACAGGGTTTCCTGCACTTAAAGAACGAACACGAGTTTGTATAGTACTGACGTTTTGACTAAGAGATACCTGGGATGTTTGTAATGTGTCGACGGCCTTTTCCACATCCGAGAACTTTTGTGATATGTCCGACATGGTTTGCTGCATAGCTTTGAGGGTCTCGGCCAATGATGACTCAACGGCGTCTCCTCCGGACATTGCTGCTTATCTCGGAAATGTAGTAAGGAAAAATCTGACCACTCAAGAATCCTCTGTCCCCACAGGCGGCGCCAAAATGTGGATGTCGGATTTGCACACTCAAGTATTTTTATTAAGTAGGAAAGATTACTCTTGAGGGACAAAAATAAATGTATAGAAAGCTTATGAATTGTTACAAGAATTGCTGTAGTATTTCTTCTTCGAGAGAAAGATCCCCTTTACATGGCCATTGACCTTTATATTTATACATAGAAGAATGACATTTAATGGGCTAATTAAGTACAATTATTCTCTCTTAAATGTAACCGTTTTGGTCTTTGATTTTAATGCTTAACGTTCAAATTTGAATTGATCCTGATCTTCATGGGCCTCGCCTTTTGGCCCAAATGTCCTTAGACCGATTTGACCATGACTTTGTCTCCGGACTGGTGTCGAGGTGCAGTCACTTCGGATTCTCCTTATGGTGATAACCACTTCGACTGTTCTTTTGACTTGCAGGCCTAATGGGCTTTATCCTTTATGGGCCGTTACCCTGACTACGTGGCAATCTTTGGTTGGTCCCGAACATCTGGTGCGGGATCCGACACCAACAGGACCCACGTTCTCTCAGCATGTGGGCCCACTATCTTCTGACGGCCCATTTGCTACGTTCGGGAGGCTTTAAAGACTTGTTTACCGACTCTACAAATCACCACATGATCTTTCCCTGTGTTTTGTCTTCACTCACATAGTTCCGACAATCACTTCCCGGAAGGTCACCCATCCTAAAATTGCTCCAGCTCAAGCATGCTTAACTGTGGAGTTCTCTCAGGATAGTTGACCGAAAAGATAAGTGCACTTTTGTGACATAGGTGGCCAAATCAATTCTTTTAAGCCTTTCTGCATGCACCACCATATTCATGAAATCGGGGTGTTACACTAAGATGTTATCCAGATCCTTTGTCACACTATTCAGTATGTGTATCTTCTTCCGAGTATCACTCAAGTCTTGTGTGAGAGCTCTGTTTGTTTTTCCCCTCTAAACCACACTTTTGAGTCAGCTCACTGTTCTTCTTAATTTCCAGAGCTAGGCCTCCTTTGAGCTTCTCCTTCTAACCTTGAAGTGTTATTTTTTCTTCCATCCATGAGACCTTCTCCTTACTCATTAAGAACTAGTTGTCATACAATATTCTAAACTGTCCATCGATGTCCACATCCTTCACAGTGTCTGATTCATCATCAGTTGAGCTGGCTCCATTTCAACTTATTTTTCTGCTTCACTGTTAGAGCTTTCATCTTCGTCGTCTATGATTCCCACAAAAGATACAAAACCCTTCGCTTCATCTTCGAGTCATCATCTTCAGAGTTACTTCCACTTTCAACAATGTAGGACCTTTCCTTCTTGGATCTAGAACCCACACAGTCAAATTTCGAGTGTATGATGCCTTTGCACTCAGAGCATATATTCTTTTCTCTTCAGGGAGGGGCACTAAGCTTTGACATGTACATATCCTTGACATTCATGACATTGAATATCGTTTCTCTTTCCATTTCTATCCATATCTCTGTCTCTTTCTTTTTCAACTCTCTGATTCTTTACAAAACCTTTCTTCTCAACTCTTCTCAAGGTGCGGCCGAATGGAATCATCGAGATAAATTAAAAGTTTCCAACATTCTTCTATAATATTTAGATAAATATATTCTACGAAATGATCCCATATAAAACTACAAATGATATACGTGCATTCTTAAAGACAAAATCTTTAAGATCTAAGACTAATTCTACCATCTCATTCAATGAAACAATGCACATAAATATCGTGATAACTTTGACTTTGATCCTCCTTTGAAGTATTTAAAAATTTTTGTATTTCATTTAACACAAAAAAACACTCATGAAAGTTATTAAAACGACGCTTGATAGAAGCACTAATACAACTTTCACACCCATCAAAGTTATAGCTAAAGTATTATGCTCTATGTTTACCATCGTAACATAAAGTTTTAACCCTCTCAAGTAACTTACATTGAATGTTAACCCCCTTTGTTCATCTGTTTTTTTTTTCATATCAGTGAACACAAATCTACGGAAATAAAAAGAGTCAATCTTTA